TGTACATTCATTGCCCTCATCATTCTCAAAACATTTCCTCTCCACTTAAGCTCCCAGCATTAGGTCCTCATTTTTCCCCTCCCTCCCTGCTCCCCCGTCCCTCATGAGCCCTTGGTAATTTATAAATTATTATTTTGTCATATAAGGGAGAACATAGTCAACAAAACCAATCAAGGGTAGCTCAAAATACCTTGAGTTGGGCCGGATGAGCCTTAATCCTCGAAGTAAGGGCCTTGCTTTTCCGTGTCCCACAGGGGTCTTGAACAGCAGTGCGTCATGTGAGCCCTTGACTGCTGCTTCCGTGAGCACTGACTGTGGCGTCAAACCAAAACCAAACTCAATTCCTAGTCAATCTTGACTCAGAGTGACACCCTGTGGGTTTCTGAGACTGTAACTGCTTACGGGCATAGAAAGCCCAGGTTTTTGTCCTGAGAAACTATTGGTAGATTTGAACTAATGACCATGTGGATCGAAGCTCAACTTATAACCACTACACCACCAGGGATCCTGTAAGATAAAATTCTTAACAGCTTCAACTATTTCGCCATTTATCATGATGTTCCCTACTGGTCCAATCGTGAGGCTTTGAGTCTTCTTTACATTGAGTTGTAACGCATAGTGAAGGCCACAATCCTTGATCTTCACCAGCAAGTGCTGAAAGTCTTCCTCACTTTCAGCCAGCAAGCTGTGTCTTCTGCATATCACAGATTGTTAATACGTCTTTCTCCAAGCCCGATGCCACATTCTTCTTCACGTAATCCAGCTTCTCTGATGATTTGCTCAGCGTACAGATTGGATAAGTATAGTGAGAAGATACAACCCAGATGCACACCTTTCCTGATTGTAATCCATGCAGTATGCCCTTGTACTGTTCACACAACTGCTTCTGGATCCATACACAAGCTCGTCATGAGCACAATGAAGGGTTCTGGAATTCCTATCTTTCTCAAGGCTATTTATAACGTGCTATGATCCACACAGTTGGATAAATTGGCATAGTCAATAGAATACAAGTAAATATATTTCTGGTTGTCTCCGATTTTAGCCAAGATCCATCTACCATCAGCAATGATAGCCTTTGTTTCACATCCTCTTCTCAATCTGGCCTGAATCTCTGGGAGCTCCCTGTGGATGTAGTACTCTGCCGTAGTTGTTGGATGATCTTCAAAAAATTCACTTGGATATGATATCAGTAATATTGTCGATAGTTTTAGCATTCTTTTGGGTCATCTTTCTTGGGAATGAGTATAAATATGGATCTCTTCCAGTCAGTTGGCCAAATAGCTGTCTTCCAAATTTCCTGGCATCGGTTTGTAAGCACGTCCAGGGGTTCAACAGCTTGTTGAAACATTTCAATTGGTATTCCATCCATTCCTGGAGCCTTGATTTTGGCTAATGCTTTCAGGATACCTGAACTTCTTCAAAAGCATAGGTGTGAAAAGCCTTAGGTTTTGGTAGGTGTGGAGGAAGTGACCCTATCTGAACCACCTCAGGCTTTCCTATGGCCACGAGCTAGGAGTCAGACATGCCTCTCTGCTTCTTTACCCTATTCTGTAACCAACCATTCCTCCCATGGTACTCAACGCTATGCTGGCAGGCAAGGATGGAGTTTTATTAGGGAAGTTAATTATCAGGATCATTAAAGACTCAGGATACAGTCATTGCTCCATAGTAGGACCAGTCCTCAGCCAACAGCCAATTCTCCCTGTTCCTCTCTGCCATGTAGTTCTCAGCTCTGGCTCTATGGGCCACTCACTTGTTGCTCTGCTTCACAGTCTCATAGTCTCATCTCTGTTCCTCTCTTCTTTCGCATGGTTTCCTTGTTTTGACTTCTGGACTTGGCTTGGCTCCTGTATGCAGCCCCATAGTCTCCATGCCACAGTCTCTGTTATCTTTGGTTTTGGCACCCACCACTTCATACAGAGATCTCAATGTTGCTCTTTATCTTTGGTCTTTGGGTGGGGGTTGGGGGAGTCCTTTCTGTATCCTAGATAGCCCTTATACACAGAGGGATGGCTTTGCAGGGCATGTGATTTTTATCTTTCAGTTAATCATACCCCCAAGGAAACAAAGGGTACGAATTGGTTTATGTCCTCTACTTAGTTATAGACCTATGTTGCAGGTGGGGCATCAAGAGGTTACAGAAGCCAGGTGGATTTGAAAAATTTTAAGTTTTATTTTTACATGCATGGGAAGAGAGAACAGGGGATCCTTCCTCCAAATGCCAATCTCCCCATCTCTTTGCTCTCATAGGTTATATATGCAGGCTGAGTGAAACAATTTTTCAAAAAGACACCCATCTTAGGATGACAGGTACATGCTGGGGAAAGTTTTGTTTTAACAAAGATCTTGTTACAGAGCTTCCGTTACTAGGGACCCTAGATTTCAATGGGACAGGCTGGTGATACAGGTTCCAGCTCTTAATGAATGGGGAGAGAAAGATTCATAACACTCCGATAAGAACTAAGTCTGTGACTTAGATAGTATCCTTGAGAATTTTTGCAGTCACAGGATACCCTTTAAGACAAGTTAGAGGAGTTCAATGTAGGGTCACATCTGTGAAAGCTTTCTAGTTAAGTTGTGTCTTGCCAAACTACAATAATTCTCTTAACTAAGATTCTTCTAAGCCACGTTATAGTTCCATCATAAAATAATAGGGATAGACTCTTTAAGTTCCATCTATCACCTATGCCTTAATCCTGTGCATTAGCATATCAGAGAACCCCCTCCAAGATGGGATTCCAGCCACAGGCAGAGTGTCCAGAATTTGTAATGTATCATCACCGAAGGAATTAACGCTATCAGGGCCATATTAATAGGCTGTATCTCAGTCAGCAAGGTTACATCCTTAAGGGAACTCAGAGCAAAGATATGCCCCATGCTTCTCTCCTGGCTTCGAGGCGTTTTCTGCAAGCCATAGCACTTCAGTGTCTCCCTGTGCTGTCACCCCGCATTTTCCCTTGTCTGTATAAGAACAGCAGTCACATTGGATTGAGAGCTCAACTGACTCCAATATTATTTTAGCTGTGTCTGAAACAACCCTATTTTTAAAAAGGTCATAGTTTGAGGCTCTGAAGAGGACACAAATCTGGAGGACGCTGTCTACCAAGTCATATAGGCCTGGTGGTATAGCGGTTATGTGTCAGGCTGCAGTGCGCATGGTTGACAGTTTAAAATCACCAGCCGCTCTGAAGGAGAAAGACTGGGTTTTCTACTCCCTTAAACAGTGACAGTCTCAGAGACCCCCTAGGGGTCGCTGTGAGTCAACCTGGACTCTCTGGCAGTGAGTGAGTGTCTACCAAGTTGAGATGCCATGCACTTTACCACAGGATCTCTTACCTTTAAATATTTATGCCTTTGGAGAGGTTCATTTGAAGGATTAAAGATTTTAACACAGTTTGTTTTGGTTTTTTTTAAGAGAAAAAACTCACATTTTATTATTTAGTAGATTGCTATAAGAGAATTAAAGCCATTATCTTTTCCACCGTTTTTATATATATAAATCATTTTATTGGGGGCTCTTATACCAATCCATCAATTGTTCAAGCACATTTGTACATATGCTGCCATCATCATTTTCAAAACGTTTTCTTTCTACGTGAGCCCTTGCACAGTTTTTTTTTTAATTACTTTGTTGTCTGCTTTTGTTATTGCTGTTTGTTAATTTGGGAAAGATTCTCTACTGTTATCAACCCCGGGCCCCGTATTGTTAGACACCCCATACCTTCACTCCTGTGGCTGACTCTTGAAGGCATTTTTGAGTTTAGGGCCTGGAACCACTTTTTCTACCTCAACTTATGCTGGAGGTTGTTCAACTAAATGAGCCACTGTAAATGAAGTCTCGGGGACACAGTTCCCCCCTGTGATCAGATTTGGCAGGGTGAGGAGAGAATTTTAATCCTCCCTGCCGGGCACCTTCTCTACCAGGAAGGTAGTTCAGTCTTCTGTTTTTGCCTTTCAGGAAAGCGGGCTTGCCTTGGAGAACAGTTGGCCAGATCTGAGCTGTTTATTTTCTTCACTTCCTTTTTACAAAAGTTTACCTTCAAGGCCCCCGCCAATGAGAAGGTGACTCAGAAGTACAAAATGGGCCTTACCTTTGCCCCTGCCAGCTACCGTCTCTGTGCTGTTCTTCGAGGGTGATTCATTCCTGCTGGCAAAAGCATGGGGGAAGGGCTACAGGTGATGTGGAGGGTGTTCTGAAGAAGGCAGAGCTGCTCAGAAGGGTGGGAACAGAACAAAGCAGCGCTGGAGAAGGATCTCAGGAACCAGACTCAGAGGTCACGAAATCCAAATTCACTCCTACCCACCACCTCCTTTTTCTTCCCAATGGAGCCTTACACAGACCATTTACGTTCTCTAAGAATCAAAGAAAATAATGGATATAAAGTGTTTATAAACCAAGAAATACATCACTAATGTGTTAGTCTGGGTGGACTAGAGAAACAAATCCATGGGCACACGTGTTTAAGAAAGAGGTTTATGTACAAGAGGAATTGCACACTGACAAAGCATCCGACCCGGTCCAGTCCAAGTCCATAAGTCCAATATTTGCCCATAAGTCTGATACCAATCTATAAAGTCCTGTTTAGACTCACAGAACACATGCAAGGATGCCGAATGCAGGACGATCACAGGCCAGTGGGTAGAAGGTCTTTGGATCCAGTGGTGTTGTAAGCATCTCAGCGCTGGCAGGGGTCTCTCTGTGGCTTCTCCGGCTTCAGAGGTCTGGTTGCATCTGTGTAGGTCCATGTGGCTTCTCCAGCTCGGGGCACTAGGGTAGTTCCATGTGTCTTGTCAGCTGCAATGTCTCCCAGGGAGTGGCAGAGAGAAGTATCTCCGGCCTCCAAGGAGGAAGTAGCGGATTTCAGAGAATTCTCAGGAGAAGGCCTCGCCCACACAGAGGCCTCATTGGCTATGATCTGATTGACAAGCTAGACTCCACCCCTACACTCTTAATCCTCACATTGACAAACGATTATATACCTACCACAATTAACATTTTTGCTAAACTCACCCTCCCTCTTCCTCTGGCCTGTTTTAGCTTTTGGCCTGTTGCTATAGCTCATTAGTTCATTAAAAGTCGTGTAGCATAGCTGAGCGCAGTGAGAATGCGGACCCTAGGAAACACATGCTCCAGTATTGCACAGCACTGACGACTCCCTGGGTGGTGCATGGCCAATGCACTGTACCATTCAACACAAGGTTAGAGGTCTAAGGTTTGTGTCCTCGCTGAAGCGTCTCAGAAAAAAGGCTGTGTTAGTCTGGATAGACTGGAGAAACAAATGCATAAACACGTATGTATGTAAGGGAGAAGTTTATATACAAGAGGAATTGAACATGGAGAAAACATCCCAATCCAGTGCAGCTCAAAGTCATAAGTCCGATCTTAGCCCAGATGTCCGACACCAATCCGTAAATTCCTCTTCAGACTCACGAACACATGCAATGATGCCAAATGCAGAACGATCACAGGCCAGTGGCTGCAAAGTCGGTGGTGGTAGAAGCATCTCAGCGCTGGCAGGGGTATCCACGTGGCCATTCCAGTTTCCAGGGCTGCATCATGAAGGGTAGGTCCATGTGGTGTCTCCTCATGGGAGATGCCTCACAGGAAGTCAGCCTTGTCAGTAGAGAGTCTCCAAGGGAGTTAACTCGGAGAGATAGTGTCTCTCACCTCCAAGAAGGAATGATCAGATTTCCCAGAATTCTCAGGAGAAGGCCATGCCCACACAGAAATCTCATTGGCTATCTCCAGATTGACAGCGTAGACTCCACCCCTATACTCTTAATCCTTAAATTGACACCAGATTAGGTGACTACCACAAAGGCCTTGGAGTCTATTTCCAAAAACTGCAAACTTGGCAACCACTTTTGAGCTTATTGATATGTGCTTTATCTTACATGGTGCTCTTGGGGAATTCAGCAAGTCAGAAATTTATGGTTCCTAATTTACCAAGAAAGCACCTGTTATATTTTTGTTTTGTTTTTTATCATTTACATAAGGAATTGATACCTTGACCTAGGACTCATAGCCAATGAGAGGATGGCCACATTTGACCATACACAGGAGCCTTAGTGGAATAATTGGTCACGCACTGGGCTGCTAACCTCAAGGTCCACAGTTTGAACCCACTAGCCACTCTGCTGGACAAGATGACTATCTCTGCCCAGGCAAGATTAGCAATCACATTTCGGTTTGGGGAACAGTGGTGGAATTAGTTCTCTTCCTGAACCTTACCATTCAGTCACAGAGACACCATAGGACAGAATCCTGCCTCACAAGGGTTCCAGAAAATCCTGGTACCACCGTGGTTAGACCCCTGCTCTGCTAACAGAATGATCAGAATCCACCCACTGGAGACAGGACCAGCAATCAGGGCCCATAAAGATTACAGCCCTGGAATTCCTACTCTGTTTTATTAACTCCGAATCAATGCCATGGCCATGAGAAAGGATAGTTCAAAAGCTGACTGCCACATCTGGATTCTGTGGAACAAGTGAGTTATCCGCACGATGCCACCAGGGCTCCTTCTGTCTCTGAGGGCAGTTACATGTACGCAGCCTTGTCTCCTGGAGCTTTCCACCCAGCGTTTGATCCCATGCTGTTTCATATGGGTATTTAATCCTGTGAAGGCTGTGTATCTTTCCATCAAACTATATTATAAACTTTGGGTGGCAAGTGTTGCCAACCTCAATTTACTTAAAGGATCCCTGGTGGTGCAGAGATTAAATCAGCTGGTTCACCAACAGGTGGGTGGTTCCAGCCCACCAGTCACTCTGTAGGAAAAAAATATGGCTAGATGTTTCAGAAAACCCATGGGAAAGTTCCACGTGGTGCTATAGGGTCAATAGGATTCAGAATCAGCTTGATGGGAAAGGACTGTCTCCAGATGTTATAGCTCTTAGTCATTTTGTCAGTTGTTTTTCATCTAGATGAACAGCCGGGTTTTCAGGTGCTGTCAAGTCACTTCGGACTCACAGTGACCAACAGAGAACCCTACCTGTCCAAACACCATCCTGCAACCTGTGCCGAAGGCCCGACTTGACATTCATCGGTCTTCTGTATTCAGATCCTCTTTGCCTTCAGTAAGTCCAGATGTGCCATCGGACTCTCTACCGAGGCTTGTTCAGTAGTCCTCTTCACGCCTGCTGCCACCCTTGCATAGTCCAACCTCTCAGATTATTTACAGATCGATACGCATAATGAAAGCTACAAGCCTGACACAACTGTCCTGACTTCCCATCATGCAGTACCCCCTTGTTCTGTCACAACCACTGCCTGCCATGGACAGCTTCTGATGCATGCATGGAAAGGTTTTAGAGTTCCTATTATTTGCAATGTCATTTATAGTCTGCTGTGTTCTGTACAGTGTATTGTCAATAAATGGCTTAGTTCAGGTTCACCTTAGTCCTCAAAATAACACCCTTTCTCTTCAATACTTTAAAGGGGTCTGGTGCAGCAGATTTACTTAATGCAGTGAATCTTTTGAGCTCATAACTGGTGTTTCCATGGACATCAATTGTGGATCCATGTAACACAAAATCCTCGACAGCAACCTTTTTCCCAGTTACCATGATGCTACCTATGGGACTGGTTGTGAAGATTTCTGATCTCTTCACATTGAGTCAAATTTCCTACTGAACGATGCAATCCTTGATCTTCATCAGCAAGTGCTTCAAGTCCTCCTCATTTTCAGCAAGCAAAATTGTGTTGTCTGCAATCTGAGGTTGTTAAACTGTCCTCCAATCCTGATCCACATTCTTCAAATTATCCAGCTTCTCTGATGATTTGCTCAGTGTACAGATTGAATAAATGTAGTGAGAGGATACAACCCTGATGCATGCCTTTCCTGACTTTCCACCACAAAATATTTCCTTCTAGTCACACAACTACCCCTTGATCCATATACAAGTTCTTCATAAACACAATGAAGTGTTTTGGAATTCCCATTCTTCTTTAGATTATCCATGGTTTGTTATGAACTACATAGATAAATGCCTTGGCATAGTCAATAAAACACAAACATCTTTCTAGTATGTTTATCTGACATCAGCAGTGATATCCCTTGTTTCACATCTTCCTCTGAATCCACATCATAGTTGTCAATTATGAAATTATTCTCCATTCAGAAGACTATCTTCTTATAATGAATCCCTTAAGAAATGAATATTTCTCCAGTGCTAGCAATTGGTATTAAATTGCACTGATTCATAATGCTTAATGGTCTCACCAGAAAGTTACAATGTTATTCTTCTTTTAACTACAGTGATTGAGAGTATGCATACAAAACTGAGAGATCCAAGGTTCATTCAAGTGTCTCAGGTATATGGTACTCTCTAAAATCCAATAAAGATTCAAAAAATTAATTCAAATATACTTGATAACAAGAGTGCTACTCTTGGTAGGTTAGCATAGTGGTTAACATAATGGTCAAGAAATTCAGAAGATACATTGACAGAAAATTCAAATGTAGAATCCATGACTGACTAGTTCTGTAATCTGGATAATTTACATAATCTCTCTGTATTTCCACGTACATAAAGAAAGATAATGATTGTTACTCCTTTATAGAAGTTATCCTAATGATTAAGCAAGTAAATACAGGGTGTAAAGGTATCTGGAAAAGTGTCTGACACATAGTCAACATAAACAAATGTCACCTGTTTTTATTGTTACAATTCTTAGTACATCATTGGGGCCAGATAAGTATCAGTTGCCTTTTAAGCACATATTTTATAATCTGGAATTATACAAATGAAATATCATTTCCAATTTAGAACTGAAAATTAAGTTGCCCAGAACAAAACTTTTAATAAAACGAAGTAGAGGTGGAATTCAATTTGGATGCCAAAATCCATGTGTTACTACTGATTTTGGACACAGGAGAGAACCAGACAGTCATGTACTCCTATGTCGCCATCTCTAACAATTGCAAAGATATGTTAACAAACAACCTGATTGTCCAAGCTTGTTAAAATTAATTAATTCTATAGCAAAATGGATTAGATTAGACATTTGGCTTCTCTTACAAGGTGAAACTTATAGAAGTGAAAAACTAGAAATGAACAAAAAATTGAGACTTTTATAAAACTAGTTAATTTATCTAAATATTATTTTCTTCTTTTATGAACCAAGATTTGGCGTCAGATAAAAAAAATCACTGTGTAGATTTCAACCTGTTCAATTATGAAGAAGCACATCACCTGTGTCCCATTTCTCCTGCATTCATTTTGTGTCTTTCTGTTCTAGCTGCTCCTAGTTCTTTAGCATGGTCACGCTCAGTTCCTTCCTGGTGGGAGGAAGCGTAGTATTTTCCTGCTGTAACCCAATGAAGACCTCAAAGACATTAAAAAAGCACATGTGCTTTAATTACTAAAATGAACAGCCTTTACATGCTTACGTTATTAAGACAGGAAAATCTTGTCCACTCAAGCTGCTATTTTAAAATACTGCTAAATTTCTGAACATTTTTATTTTTAAATAATGTACATTGCAAGCCTGGGCCCCAGAAAACAAGAATGCCAGTATCATAAAGTATAAGTGTGTGTGTGTGTGTGTATGTGTACATACGTATACATATATATG